TAGTGTGTGTGTGTGTGTGTGTGTGTGTGTGTGTGTGTGTGTGTGTGTGTGCGCGCGCGCGCGTGCGTGCGTGCGTGCATGCGTGTGCGTGTTTAGTTATGTATATAGATTGATTTCCTTCTTGTTCTAATAGCCATGTACAAAATTTTATTCTGCGTTTGTAATCTTGTGATAATAAATTTTATATCTTTGTGCAATAGTGTGCATGGAATTTATTTTCTTTTAAAACACGCTGTACTGTATTTCTTGAGATATTTAATTTTCGACTTATTTTGCGTATATTAGTAGAAGATTTCTCTTCTATCGTTCGTAAAACATCTATTATTATGTGTTATTTTATATTATTATATATAAAATAATACATGGAAATAAATATAAAATAAATAAAAAAATATTATTTATTAGTTCCTTATTAATTTGTATCACGCGAATGTTGTCATTTATGACACATTACATGTGACAGCTGTGACAGTTCAATGCGTATTGTATTTTCCACATATTTTTTATTATGCTATTATTATTCCCGTAATTAATTAACAGCACACGCATAAAAAGGTAAAAATAAGAAACAATTGCAACAATGAACATGGAATTACATTAATTCGTAAAATAAAATTAATATTTGAAAACATCTTTATTACTGTGCAATGGTACGCTTGAAGATATGGTATTTTTAATAAAAAATCTGTTTTCCGTTCTACAATAATCAAATTATTAAAATAACAAAAATAAGTACTTATGCAGTGTAATGTTTGTACATATATTTAGAAACTTCCATGGGCACTTCCTTACAAGAACTGGACAACAAAGCCCAAGAATATCGTCAAGCAATCTATGAAATGGGAGGAATATTAATTTATAGGTAATTTATATAGATAACAATTCTAATTCAATACTTTATATTATAGTTACAATTGTTATTTTTAATATTTAAACAAGAAAATAAAATTGTTATAATATAATTATTAGGATACAGAAACATTACATATAAAATTTATACAAAAAATAAAGTTGTTAAAAAATAAATGATTTATTAAAATGTGTGTGATATTGTATAATGACTTATAGAATAATGAGGCCATGGATAGCTTCCGATACGATATTTGCACTGACGTCAATGGGAAGAAAGCAAGCTAAATGTTTGAAAATATTGCATGCATTTACTGAAAAAGTGAGTAAAATTGTAATATTTAAATAACTTTGTGAGAATTTTTCTTTAAATAAAATTATTATAAATTTAAGATAATCTTTTGATTTTATGATCTAATATTGACAATATACTACTCTATGTCTTATTATGATGTAATACTTTATGTCTTATTATGATAAAATATTAAAATAATAAAATCATATATCCTTTTTTATAGATTATTGAAGACAGAAAACAATATCATGAACGCACTAATGGACGATATTTAAACTTTGCAAATGGAATGGATAAACTTGACGATAACGAGGTGATAGGAAGTATGTATACACCGAATAACTTGTAATCTGTTTTATCATATAATACAAGTTATTTTATCTATTTAAGTAAAAAAGAAACGACTCGCTATGCTGGATCTTTTAATATCACTGGCTCGTGACAACCAAATAACTGATCAAGACATTAGAGAAGAAATCGATACATTCATGTTTGAAGTAAGCATTTGCATTTCATTGATATTGTATAAAAATTAAGAAAAAGAGAGATAAAACAAGAGAGAGGATGAAATTACATTTTTGTCCATGTAATTACAAAGATTATATAATCATAAATAAATATATTAAATAAAAAAGAAATAAGTTAGCTTTAATAACAGATTATGTATAGTCTGCATATATAATGCGGAAATAAATTTAAAAAAGTTTTTCTATTATACAGGGACATGATACTGTAGCGATGGGTATAACTTTTGCAATACTGACATTAGCTGAGCATAAAGATATTCAGGTATTTGATTTAATAACTTTTCTTTAGTAAACATACTATTAATTAATATACTAAAACAATTAATTAATTTTGATGTTTTATTTTTAATAAAGAATCTTTAAATAAAACTTTTGATTCAAAAACATATACAAAATAATATCTTTCTGTTTTTATTTATAAAAAATAAAATTTTTTAAAATATTTTTAAATACAAATAATGCAGTACTTTAGTTTAATTAATAATTAAAAAAAATCATCAAAGAAAAATGTAACTTGTTTCATGATAGGAATGTGCCAGAAAGGAAGTTAGTGATATCATGGAAGCAAATGATGGAAAACTTACTATGTCAGCTTTAAATGAAATGTCTTACTTAGAAAGGTGTTTGAAGGAATCATTAAGATTACATCCTAGTGTCCCTTTCATATCGAGAGTCTTATCAGAAGATGTAAAGATGCGTGAGTAATTAATTAATTAAATATTTCAAACATAGAACAACGAGGAAAAATGTTATATAAAGCATATTTTTAAATATAAATTCGTAAAGTTATTTAAAAACTGTTTATTTCTAAAATATTATTACAATTAGTTTCGTCAAGTATATAACAAATTTTCTAATTTGCAAGATTATTAATTTAGATAATAAAAAAATTGAAATTTAAATAAATAATAATTTATTAATATTTTTAAATTAATAATTTAGATGTATGTTTATTTTTCATAAATTTTATAAATTGTTTAAAAATTATCTTCTATGTAATATATATATATATATATATATATGTGTATGTGTATATATATATAAATCATATGTAAATTATACAGAGTATATAATCTAACATTGGAACTTGAAATATCTTTATTATTTTTATGATACGAGAAAATATCTAAGGAAGAATTTATTTGCCTCAAAGAGATAATATTATTATATTTAAAATTAAAAATTTAATAAGAAGAAAAATTAAAAAAAAATTTTTTTTTTAAATTGTAATTTTTGAGATTTCAAGATGATCAGCAATTCTTTAGTGGGACAACTTTAGTGGGTTTTTTTATTATTGCGATATTATTGCAAACAGAATGACAAATTCAACCATATATGATATGTTGACTTTCCGAGATGACCGACCAGATGACCCTTCGAGATACTACTATTCCAGACAAAATAAATGGAAGCCATGTGAATGAAGAATTCGTATGCTGCTTTGACTTATATCAGTTTTGTGAAAAATATTGACTGTACTAATATGTGGATTAAGAGTTATTACAGTTAAAACATTTATTTATTTGTTTATTTCAGTAAACGATTCTTTTTTTCAGGTTTTTAAAGAATTTGAAACTGTTGGAGAAAGTTTGAATACTAAGATGTTTCCAATTAAGATTTTCTTGCATATTGCGACTAAGCCTGTATTAAATTTTGTCTACATTTTATTACGATTAAGGATTATAATATCACGTTTTTCAGTTAAATATGATATTGTCACAACGTAATCTATTAATCGTAAATGTATTAATAAATAAGTATAAATGTTAATTGTTTGTAAACAAAAGAATATAATATTATTCAAACAATATAATATAATATTATTCGAAACAATATAATATTATTCGTGATTGTGCCAACAGTCATAAAATCAAATTGTTTATAAGAAAAACATGTATATTGCATCTATATACATTACATTATGATTTTATAATAACGATCTCTATAACATATGGGGATCAGCATATCATACATGGTTGAATTTATTTCTTTGTTAGCTGTAATATTGTGATAATAAAAATATATTGTAATATTTAAAAAAATATTAACAACTTTAAAATCTTAGAAATCATTGTCTTAAAAAAATTTTGTTATTTATAATATTTACCTTTTCGAGACAAAGAAGCAGACAACTAAATTCTTCTATATTTCTATTCTTATGTATTTTCTCGATTATCACAAGAAATAATAGAAATATTTTAGTTTCAAAAAATATTTTAGTTGCTAAATGACTCCCCTGTAAATCATTATACAAGGTGTTTCATAAATCGTAAATCGTAAATCAATCATTCGAGAGATGTATGATCTCAAAAACAATT